GTGAAAATCCCACAACTACATTACAGCGTTAAAAGCAATACCCAGTGCTTGGTTGCTGGATGGGGTTCCACTAAACAGCGCGAAGTTGTCAATGACCTTTTGGCCTTGAATGTATCAACTGTTGACATCCACAACTGCAAGGAAGCATGGAAGAAATACAAAGAAAGCATCACAAAACTTCCACCAAATATCATCTGTGCTGGAGGATATAAACAGAATGGAGGAGTGTGCTTGGTAATAAACATACAGGAGAGACCGGGGCAAGTTGTCACAATTTCTTAAGTACATAAACTATAAGAGGTGTTGAGACAATTGAGAAAGATAAAGTGTGACAACTAGCTCCAGTCTCATCTTCATATACATATATATATATTAATTAGGGACGTTCCATTGTTCTACTATTGAACCCCATCTTCACATATATTCTTGCAGGGTGATTCTGGAGGTCCACTGGTGTGCAATTCAATGGCAGTGGGCATTGTCTCCTTCAGCACAAAGGGGTGTAAATATCCTGATGTACCAAATATCTTCACTGATATTTCAAAATATGCACGTTGGATCAAAGCAATGATGAAGAAAAAATAAACTTAAGAGTTTTGTGTCCACAGCACTTGCAAATTATGCTTAAACATAAAATACTGCCCAAATAAAATTGTTTTGCTGATGACTTGTGTCTGTATTTTCACAATGGCCATTTCTGTGTATGCAGATTGCGGTTTTTGAGAAAAACTACCTCAAAATGTTCATGTTTTTGTGTATGTTATGGGTTACAATAATAATACATTTATACAAGGACACAATAAATCAGGGATGGATAGTATGTAAGATACCAGGGACTCAATTTTGGTTTGATATACACATTTGAAATGTGAATTTGAAATTTTCCATCAGTAGGGTACAAAATGAGTCATTTTCCTTCCAACAAAAGGTCAGTAAAAGGAGGTGTTTAACATTCAGAAAAGTTGATTTTGAATTTTTTTTCCTAATTGATTTTTGGATGATACTAAACATTGGGAATCCAAATACAATTTAAAACTCACATTTGTGTTTTTTTTATTTTCTAGTATGAATATATACATATAGTAACAGGGTCACAAACTTTGCCCGTCATAACTGAAAACTGTAAAGAAGGTCAAGACCACAAAGGGGCAGGCCATCATTTAAAGCAGTGATAAAAGACATTTGATGCGTTTAAAAGCAACTTTGAATTTTTTTTAATACAATAGTTTCAAAACAAAAGATTTGTCCCAATCTGGAACACCCTATTCATAAAAGGTTTGATCAAACCCAAAGAGCATTCACAGGAATCCATCAGAAATAGTCTACAGCAATGCTGCCAAAGAAATTAAACTGCACCTGAAGACATCAGTTTTACCAAGATATGCTGGAGCAGATCTTGTATCGAAGGAAAGCAAAACATATTTGGAGTAAAGTAGCAAATTCTGCATCTTGCGTCATCACTGAATGTCATGTGGTAGAGAGCTATATAAATGACTGTGGTGGTCGTACCTGCAGCGCGTTATGAAGATGAGTGCAGCGTATGGCCTGTTGCTCTCAGTGGCTTTGACGAGCTTGATACTGACTGGTTAGTAAAATCATGCTTAACTGATTATAAAATGATAACTGAACTGTTTTTTGTTATCTCAAACGTGCATTTTTATTTGCTTAGGCACATTTGGAGCTGATATCATCAATGGCAAAAAAGCCAAGAAGAACTCCATGCTGTACATGGCATCAGTGCAGATTGATGGAAAACACAATTGTGGAGGATTCCTGATCAACCCGAGCTATGTGCTCACAGCCGCACACTGCGATAAAAGGTAAAACCAACTGTTAATCTGGAATATGTTTGGTGTTCAACAAAACTGTTTACTAATATGCAATTATGTTCCTGTTATGAATAAAGTGGTAACATGACCGTGATCCTGGGCACCCACAACATCAGTCCACAAGGAGCACATTTGAGAAGATATACAGTGCAAAATAGACATAAGCACCCATCCTACAAAGATGCCAAAACTGGGAATGACATCATGCTTCTGAAGGTACAATATTCATAAATAAATGTAAATATATTAACAATATTAAGTTTATTATTAAATATAAATGTATAATTAAATACTTAAATTTTATTTTAGAATTTAATAATAATACATAAATTTACATTTTAATTATAAATTAAATAATTAGATTAAACAAACCATTAATGGTAATCACAAAGACCACACTTTTCATATGTGAAATTTTAGCTGTCCAAGAAGCTGAAAACAGGCAAAGGTGTGAAAACCATCAAAATCCCGAGCAAGGACAAACCCCTGAAGCCAAAGACCAAGTGCCAGGTTGCAGGATGGGGTCAAACTGAACAGGAAAATGTGGTGAATGATCTGCTGGTGACAGATGTGTCACCTATCAACTCCTCCATCTGCCAGACAATGTGGAAAAAAGTGCGAGTGAATCTCCCCAAACACGTCCTGTGTGCTGGGGGTTTCGGGACCAAAAGTGGCGCTTGCCAGGTACGTCTAAAGCAATATTTTGGAGGAAGTTCATATTCTGTGAGTCTATATTCTTCTGGACTCAATATAAAATGTGTCTGAAATCAATCTCAAATGCATTGTCATTGCAGGGTGATTCGGGTGGACCGCTGGTGTGCAGTGGGACAGCAGTGGGAATTGTCTCTTTCAACATGGGACGCTGTGACTACCCAAATGTTCCCAATGTTTACACTGAAATTTCAAAATACAGATCCTGGATCAAGGAGGTGATCAAAGGAGGTGCTTGATGCCTATGAAAATGCATTGTTTTGTTGTGCAGTATGTCAAGCTCAGCTTTTATGGTGCCATGTGAATGCTCGCTGTCAAACTTGTCAATAAAACTGAGAAAAGAACAATAAGCAATGACTCTGCATTTTTTCTTTCTAAAGCACCACTTCAGAGAGAGCGAAACCGGGGGCTGTTTAATTCTCAAACACTGCTAAAGCTCACCACCACCACCACCACATCCTTGTTAAACAAAAATAAACTGGGGGGGGGGGGGGGGGG